ATTTTTAAAAGATTAACTACCTTCATGTCCAAAATGAATGTTAATCGTTCATTTTGGGCATGAATGTTAATTTTTTTTTTTTTTTTTTTTTTTTTGGAGACAGAGTCTCACGTTGTTGCCTAGGCTGGAGTGCAGTTTGCCTAGGCTGGAGTCCAGTGGCACTGTCTCTGCTCACTGCAACTTCTTCCTCCCAGGCTCAAGCAATTCTCCTGCCTCAGCCTCCCAAGTAGCTGGGATTACAGGCCCACACCATCAGGCCTGGCTAATTTTGCATCAGGCCTGGCTAATTTTCAGTAGAGACGGGGTTTCACCATGTTGGCCAGGCTGGTCTTGAACTCCTAACCTCGTGATCCGCCCTCCTCGGCCAATCAAAGTGCTGGGATTACAGGCGTGAGCCACCGCGCCAAGCCGAATGTTAATTCTTTTAAAAATTTTTGTTCTCCAATGTCTTCTCCACTTTTTTTCCGGAATTTGTTTCTTCCAATTAAAGCGTGGTGTGGAGGAAACTGCAGCTGAGTGCCGAAAACTAGGCGTCACTGCGCATGCGTACGTGGTAGACTGCAGCAACAGAGAAGAAATCTATCGCTCTCTAAATCAGGTGAGACTTCAGGTTCACAAATTTCTTCAGATGATTTTGTTTCCTACGACGCTGATGACATGGAAAATGAGAAAATTCTTTATGACTGCCTGATTTAAATGGATTTTAGCTGCTAACTGAAGTAGTTATGTGACCAAGGAAGGATATATACTTTTTTTCATGTATGTAATCCACTCAACTCTGCCTATTATTATTATTCATATTATTAATCAATTTCATTCTGATCAGAAGTGTGAGCAGTGACACAGAGTGACTGACAAATGATTTATCATAAGGGAATATGGATCACTTCCTAGTTTTGTTTTAGTCCTATTAACTTTGCAGTAATTCTGCCTTCTCTTTACTTATTTCCCTTGTGAGATTTTATTTTGCTGTTAATGTAGTCTTCTATAGAAAATGTAATATTAATAATTATTATCACAATTATTTTAAAAGAGTAAATATCAAATAATCACAATGAACTAAGCATTCCAACAAACTTTACATTTTTTAATCAAATCCCTACAATAACCCTGTAAACTTCATTTTACAAATGAGCAAATTATGACTTACAGAGGTTAAGCCAGACCAAGGTCATGTACTTAGTAGGTTATGAAACCAGGATTACCCAACCAGCACTTTAGACCAGGTGCAGTGGTTCACACATGTAATCCCAGCACTTTGTGAGGCCAACGTGGAAGGATCACATGAGACCAAGAGCTCGAGACCAGCCTGGGCAATGTAGTGAGACTCTATCTCTA